AGCTCAATGGATCACTGAGGCACACAAACCATCGCACTACCTTAAGGTCCAATCTCGTCGCAGTAACCACACCCGCATGAAGCGCAAGCTGGGTTTCGCCCTGGTCGCAGTTGCATCGATCAAATCTTTACGACCCGTCAGATGAACACCGTCATACATTCAGTCGACCAACCATAGTCGTATTCTTGCACATTCGAGCCGCGTTTGAATCCGTTGGCAGAGTAGCTCTCTGGGGCTGCTTACTAGATAGAGGAGTACCTGGGAAGTACATAGGCATTCTCCGTGCCATTTACCGTCAGACCTCAGGCCGCGTGTGATTATTCGAGGACTTTTCGCCTCGTAGCTTTAAGGATCACAAGCTTGCTTTGTAATCCGAGGGCGCGGGTTCAAGCCTGCATAGGGACCGGGCGACCCTTGCAATATCCTTGACCTACGTGCGACTGGTGCTGGTTTCTTGGTATCGAAGCGTCGGTACTGAGCATCGGCGTACTGCTAATGCCTTTAGCAACGTCGATGGCCACCGGCTTTTGCGTAGGCGTATGAGCCACCTTGCTATCAACGATCTTCATGGTGTTCGGCGAGCTTGGTGGCACAGGAAATTTCACCTGGTCTCCGTGTTGCTTCACTCGAGCTTCTTGGGCATCCTGAGTAGCTTGCTCCTACTCGAAAATCGTGTTATTCTCGTCGTGATAGCCAGGTCCAAACGGTATACGATATATGTCAGTCGTACTGGTGCTCTGAGGGTCAGGTCTAAGATCAAAGGCTCCGGGTGGGGTCCCCTAAGTCACTCTTCCTCGACCTGGGCAACCGGGAAGCTACACCTCCACACAACTTATAGACCAATGCCTCAATGACTTTCTGCTCTCTGTCCTTTGCCAATGCTGCACCCTGTTATGGTCACTAAGGTCGCACCGGGCCTCTTTTGTTGGCTGTTCGAGAAAATCTGTCCGCCCTGCTTGACTGATCAAAAAAGGTGAACTCCTTGATACGACCTAATGACCGCCACACATAGAGTACCGATATTTATTTGTTCGTAACGACCTTCTTGAATCTCCTCTGTTCTCTTTCATTATTTATCAATACTATTATTATCTTGCGCTAGAATATTCTTGATCAACCAGTGCGGTTATTCTCCTTGCTTTCTGGGAACTGGCTAGTGTGATCCGTTTAGGCTTCACTGATCTTAACACCCCGTTTGAAGTACACTGTCATATGATTTTAGCCTGTGGTTGATCTGGAATGGCGTGATAGGAGCTCGACAACGATCCGCTCCTCTTCCGTCCCGACAATCAGGTGCAGATGTTGATGGGGTAATAGGCTTATTTTACTGAGTAGCCTCTGTCATCCCAATTTGCATTCGTCCAGAAGTATTTCTAGTGGCGTGGTTAGGCCATCTTCTGTTGAATGAAGTGTAGCTCTTGAGTTGATTGATGTGGCGATCCTATCTGTCATCGCCTACGACCAGTTTATACCCGACATAACCATGTCTGTTTACAACTATTCCAGGTGTCCAAGAGATTTTGTTGTTCCGATAGTCCTGTACCGACACCTTTTGTCTAATGTCGAAATGTCGTGATATAGCGCAATATCTTCGGTTGTATTGATGCTCAATTCTTCGATTTTTTCCGAACTTGGGTCTATTCAACGGCCTTATTAGCTCAGATTACGTTCCAGGCTTCTGAGCAGAAGCGATTCTGCCGGGGACTTTTTGTTAGGCATCTGTAGTTTAGACGCAATTCTGTATGTTAGCAGAAATATCAGTAGGACCTCTTAAATTGGTCCGTCTCCTTCAGCTTTGAGCAGAGCCCTCTTGAAAGTATCCACGAATCATTTAGCTTTCGCATTTGACTATGGATGATAAGGAAGTGAGCGCACGTGCTCCGTGCCATGTAACGCACAAAATTCAGCAAAAGGAGAAGAGGCAAACTGAACTCCATTATCTGCTACTACTGTTTCCGGAAAACCGAACCGACTGAATACTTCCCTAAGGATTGTAGTCGTGACCGATGTTGATGTGTACAACATTTGGCAAATGTCAGACAATTTGCTGTATGCATCAATGATAAGTAAAACTTCTGTCCTTTCATTGGTTCTGCGAAATCAAGCTGAACACTTGACCACGGTTTCTTGGATGTAGGCCAGGAGAATAGTTCTCATTTCCGTGGTGATTTTATTGCTAGGACACACTTTGAACACGAACGCGTCAACTCCTCAATTTTCGAATCCATAAATGGCCAATACACATAACTCCTCGCTAGAGCCTTCATCCTGTGGGAACCAGGACGTCCAGTAGGAAATTGAGGTAAACTGGATTGAAGTTCGGCTGGGATGACAACTTGTTCACCAAACAGGATACAGTCTTGGGAACAGATAATCTATTTTGTCTCTAGAACAATTGTTGTGGCTGTGCGTCCGAACTTTTTCCTCGCCACTGAATGGTACAACATGCTCACCTTTGACAGTAACAAGTCCCGTAAGGTGGCGTCTTAGACCAAAAATATTGGCACCTACTTCACATCATCATCATTATGCACGTTAGCTGCGGGTGAAAAACACCTCAGCTATTGTGCTGCAATACAAAATACAAGAAAAGAAAAAGCAAACGGTGGCACGCCCGCTGAGTCCCCTGTAACGGATGGACATCGTTCCGGAGAGCTAACAGCTGCCTGTCGTAACAGAGAGTCATATTAGGCCTAACAAGTGAGATCGTGATTGGAGGGGGATGCTAAGCAGGAGGGGGGGTGAACAAAGGAACTCACAACACAATCGCCATTGGTGCCGGCTCCAAGCCATATCAGCGAGTGTGTCCAATCAAACGTGTTCACCGTCCTTAGGACCTCAGCCAGGCAGTCGGGATGCACCAACCGACGCCAACTTCGAAGTGAGGGTTTACATTTCGACCAAGTCATCGCTTGGCCTCCCCTCCTCCTTTTCCAACCGCACCCACAACGCGCAAACAATGCACGTCGCGGGAGTCGGTGTGCTGGCATGCGCAACATGTGGCCCAGCCATCGGAGCCTGGTGCGTGATATAATGGTGCTGAGCGGTTCACTGCACCAAATACGCGACGTCGAACACGCTCATTGCTCACGCTGTACTCCCACCTGACATGACCTTCCCTGCGAAGGCAGCGGTGATCCAATATGACGAGCCTCTTTATATCTGTTGACCTGATGGGCCAGGTTTCACAGCCATATAGGAGAATTGAACGGACGGCTGCGTTGTAAACTTTGCTCTTCAGGGCGAGAGTAATGTCGCGTCTGCGCCACAGGTGGTGGAGATTGGGAGAAGCACTTCGAGCCTTTGCTATACGGGTTCGTAACATCTTCAATCCCACGGGTGCTAATATAGCTGACCAGGTACTTGAATTCCTGAACGACTTCTCAATCCCATGTATAACACAACTCTAACCTTTACTCTTTCCTTTTATTGCTACTGAACTGGTGTTAAACTTTTTCTACTAACCAGTTTGAGAACCAAAACAGCGGCTAACGACGAAGTGGGATTAGTACCCCGAGGTATATCCCAGTTGGTTTATCATTGTGTTTCCCAAGTCACTGATTACCTGATCAAATGGGCATGAACCTCACTGTCGACATTATGGCCATGGCTTGTGTTGTTTACAGCACTCGATGAACTTCTGAAATGCTCCTTATTTTCTTCTTTGAATACTACAAAACAGTATCAGGTGTTTCGGGAACATCCTTCCGATCGATCCATTAAATAACTCCTTGAGTTTCACTAACGATTGGAAGTGGTTCTTCCGATGGAGATGCACTAATAGCATACTGCCTTCGCTTACTTGTTTTGTTGTCTACACCAATGAAAGCGTTCATGTAGAACTGCCCAACGCAGTGTGATGTGCCAACGAATTGGGACTGATAGTTGTCTCGGTGGGTACAGAAAATGCGTTAAAATGTAAATCCTAGCAGAATTCTTTATCAGGATTCAGATGGTGATGTGCCAACTTTTACGTAAATCACTCAGTGCTGCAGGTAAACGACCGTTGGTTATCTCCGATGAACAGCGCTCAGAAAATTGGTGGACTGCAGCTAGAAGTCACACCAACATCCTCGAAGATGCATCAAACGCCTGTCTTGAGTCCTTTTTACATTCATTTAGCCTATATACGGACAACTTTTTCAGACTCGAAAGGCACTCATAATATGCCTCCACAGCAAATATCACCCTACTTCTGACCCCGGACCCACTCAGTATGTATGGCTCTGAACTTCTTATGCGACAGCTCAGCTGTGTTCCAATTGGAATATCTGTTGGATGCCACTGTTTTGTGGTCGCTGGTATCTTGCTACGACTGTGTCATTTAGTTACGAAATGGGTGGTTTTTCGACTGTTCACTTACTTTGCTAAAAAGTGTAGGCATTTCTGTCATCTCGGCAGTAAGAAGAAAGAGGCATGTGGGTGCAGCCTTTCCCTGGCCATACGTTACTCACTCTGCTATATTAGACTTGTATGCTTTGGATAAGCCTCTCATCTCTTTGACGCTGTATGAATTATTTGTACATAAACCACATACTCAGTCTATTGCGCGTGTTTTAAGTATCTCAATTTCCTTTTTGTCTTCGTTATTTACCCTAGTTTTTGTGGCACATTTGAGAGACGAACACAATCTTTGGCCTCCCGTTCATTGTTCAACCGTCTCTGCGGTTGTCTTCAGCGCCGTTCAACTTGTTAGTGATTACTTATTATTTTGGATTTCATCGTTGTCACGGTTCTTCAATGTATGGACTTCTTTTCATGATTCCGTACGCTCAATTATGAGTAGAAGTATGTACACTGAAGAACCATAAAAACGATGGAATCCAACATAATAAGTAACAACTAGAAAATGAACGCCGCTGAAGACAACCGCTTGGCAGTTGTAGGTGTGGTTCATGTATTGCTTCCCTTCAACCTTCGCAATCCCATTTTCCCTGAGTTCCGCTCCTGTCTAAAACTACACTAGTTACTAATAATTCTTCAATCTTCTGTTGTTTCAGGCTGTTTCCTGTGCTTTGTGGCTGTCTCCTTCTACAGCGTCGCCGTGCTCTTTCTGTACGCGGCCATATTTGGCTTTGGCTTGATATGTATGAACTCACTAATCTATTCATTGATGTTGCGGACAGCATTTTCTCCATGGGATCGGTTGGCGGTCAGGACGCTAATGCAGGCTCATTTGGGAAGCTCCTTTCTAATAAGTCTCTCTGTGCTAGTCGTCTTGGTGATCATGGCATTCCCCCGATGGCCATCTATGAAACACGGAATCCTCTTCTTACTGCTCTCTCTGTCGCTTACTTTGCTTTCGCACCTACCTGTGTGGTTTCTTCTGAACACAGCGCAGCTCACCTACGATTGCCATGCTCCTCCGAATAAGTTCGCCTCATTTCACTGCACCACTCCGGCATGGTATGCCTATGTGGTAGCTCTACTCGGCTCCAAACCTTGCACTTCTGTTTATCTTTCATCCGATTTATGCCCTTTCATAGACTTTCGCTATGCTTTGTCGTCCGGCAATCGCATTTGTCCTGCTATTTCTTCCGTTTCTTGCCCTCATAACTACTGCGATCCGAAACTTCGTCAACTTGTCTATACAATTTCTTCCTACCTACTACCAATTTTGAACGTTGTTTTGTATAGTACTCTCGTTAGAGTAACTTCTATGTGCAAACGTATACTATCTTGTATTCATCAAGAGATTGAATTGTACCGTATGGTCGGTCCATTTGAGTTTATTAGTTTCCACTGGAACCGCCTAAATGTCCCACTCACATTGGCTCTATTATGGTGCTTTAAGTGGTGTCTTGTCATTTCAATGGGTCCCGACCAATGGCCTATTACGCCCGTTTCGCCGAGTGGAAATTTGTCTAGTTCAAACATTTCGCTTCTAGAGGATTACGTTCGGCCATCTGATAACGAATCTACTCTTTCAGTGCTGCTCACTCGGGCTTATGTGGGTGCGTTGGTTCATGGTTCAGAGACGTGGTTGGTTGTATTCGGCGCTGCTGCTTTTTTTGGAGCTGTAGCTGTGTGTGTTGTACGTTTCCTGATTCTTCTGCTGGATCCCTCCGGGGAGGAAATAACTCGTCTTTTCGCTGCCGCAGGCGATGCTCCGCTGAATTTACATGAATGGAATGTAATCGAAGACCCCGTGTTAGCAGTGGATCACAATGATGTCATCGCCGTTGAAATGCTAGTCGGCACAGGATGGAACTGCGCTGTGGTGTTTCTATTTCTTGCATTTCAGTATGATCTGCCAAGTTTGCCTTTGACTCAGAGAATATGTTGCTCGGTGTACGGCCTCATTGTAATCGGAATAACATGCATCCATCCGTTTCAAGCACTTATCAAATCGTTTTTACTACGCCTTGGTGTCCCTGGTCGTGGTTCACCTTGGATTTCCCATTTGCGTCCTTTATTTTTCTGTTTTCTCCTCATGGGTGCTTCTCTGTGTATCATAGCTTACGTCCCCGAAGGACTAGCTGAGCGTGTCCACGACCGGCTGGTGAACAACAGTGTTGTTGAAGCCGCTGCTGATTCGTCCGCCTCGGTTTTGGTCCCACGGTTCGGATCATCTGTGGAATCGTTAAGGGCCCGACAGCTGCGCATCACATTATGTGGCTGCCAGCTTTTGCTTGCACTTACAGTCACTCTGTTGGAGTATTCTGTATACCAGTACTCACACCGTCATCCTGCTTGGCAGGGGCTTCGCTCCAGTCTTTTTTGGATCAAATTGATTAGTTCTGTGCTCGACTACATGATCTCACTACTGTCGTTCCTGACCGTCTGTTGGCTTTCCGTCTACGATTCCATCGGACTGTGTCGACTGTTCATCATTTGCTGTTACTTTTACTTCATACTCTATCCGTCTGCTGTTCGCGCGTACACTTGGGTCCGTTGGAGGATCTTGGCTAGAGAACGCATGCGCAATTTGATCAGCCCCTCTGAAGCAGAACTTGAAGCCAACGGAGATACTTGCCCCATATGCTACACGGAAATGACACCTGCATCGTCCAAGTTCACGCGATGTGGCCACCTGTACCATATTGATTGTTTGACAACTTGGATGCGACGACAGCTATTCTGTCCCATATGCCATGCGGATCTGTTGTCCACAAAGGTAACAGACCGACGCCGCCGGGACGATACACATGACACCTGACTTGACCTGAGGACTCACACATATGAATATATACAACCAACCGAAGTTGACTGTCCCGTTTATGTTTACCTTTTCCTTCACATCTCTCCTATTCTCCGCAGATTGGTTTTTCTTCTACTATTTGGTCTAATTTATACATACCTTACCAAAGCATTGCACGTGCGTTTTGCATTTCTGAAAGTCATTCTCTCGGGATCGGGCGCTGAATCAGGTCCATTGCATATGCAATGAACGAATAATTTTGTTGTCTGTAGACACAACATCACACATTTTTCGACTTGATGACATGCTCATAGTGGACACAACATTCGCAATACCACAGTAACCTCACGGCTGATTAATGTGAAGGGCCCTGTGGTCACATCAAACAATGGTTTCACTAGTAGGCATTAAATGGCCCTCCTTGGAGCTACTTGACTTTATTGCTCGAGCCCAAGTGAAAGTAGTAAAGATGATTTCGTTGAAATCACCCTGTCCATTTTGAGTACAGGCAGCGCCGGGAATTTTAACTAATATGTGAGCATGCGCTCTGAGGCTTAATCGGCAACCACGTAGAAAACTGCACATCTTGTATTCGTCAAACTTTCAGTTTATGAGTTTTTTGTCCCCATTGCATTGCATTACAACCATGACATTTTCTTCAAACATAAACTTCATCCTGCATCGGCCGTCGCGCAGATTATCAAGGGTCGCCTTATCTGCTGCATACAGCAGGGCGGATAAGCGAAAACATGCTACTGCTGGCGCCTCCCTTCTTTCTTTTCCACCTTTTTCTCTTACTCCCATCCCGGCCCCCATTACTAACCTTCCTTCTATAATTCCCAGCTTAATTGACAGCAACCGAAGTGCTACTGGAGTAGAACCATCTGCAGCCACCATCCCACAGCACCTATCGGCAAAAGTCCCTTATAAGGCCACGCTGTCACGTTTCCATGGCGACATTCAACGTCCGCACTCTAAGACAAACAGGTCAGCAGGCTGCACTCGCACGCACCTTAGACACACTGGGTGTGTTGTGTGTCCGAAACTAGGATCAATGACCCTAACGGGGTTATTGAATTGATTGCACCCGGCTTATCCTCTCGTTATTGGTTGCACGCATCCGGAGACGCCGATGCGGCACTCACGGGTCAAGCTGGTGTAGGTGTCATTCTCAGCTCCAAGGCTGAGTCACCGTTGGTTGATCGGATTCCGGTGAACAGCCGTTTATGTGCAGCCCGTTTGACGACATCAGCTAAGGTGAATTCTCGAAGTAGTACAAAACGCTGTTTGTTTGTTATTTCCGATTATGCTCCCACGGACTGCAGTTCTAATGCAGTCAAGGACACTTTCTACCACGAACTGAACGCCCTACTACGCAGTGCTACTAGTTCAGATATTATAGTACTTGCAGGGGATATGAACGCACAAGTAGGGCGTCTGAGCTCTTCAGAAGCTCAGCTGGGTGGTAAGTATGGACTTAACTCCGAACGGACTGACAACGGCGAGCGTCTGCTGCAACTGTGTGCGGAGCACCAGTTGTTTCTTACTAGCACTGCTTTTAGACACAGTGGGCGTCCACCTGTAGCTAGCCAGCGATGGGCCAAAATTGACCACATAGCCATAAGTTACAGGTGGCGCGGTTCCATTCTGGATTGCCACTCGTACTGGAGTACCTGTGTCGACTCTGATCATGCCTTGGTGCGCTGTCGTTTCTCCATGAACTTTACCGGAAGGCGCACAAAGCGTCTCCCCCGATTGGCAATGGAGACATTGTCCCAGCCCTCGGTCAGGCAAGCCTATCAAGAAGCACTGCATAGCGAACTCTCGCTGTCTTGTTTTAATGACACTAAACTTCAGTGGAATAGGATCTCGGCTGCCATGCACGACGCAGGAGCATCTGTTTGTGACACTATCAGTCGTCACCGCACCAGTCACTGGATATCCGAGAGATCCGTGAACCTGTTGGAATCTAGAAGACACCTCCCGGCTGGTTATGAACACGATGTGACCAGACGGGCTATTAGGCGTGAACTAAAGCGGAGCCTACGTGCTGACAAGGAAGCCTGGTGGACCAGTCGGGCTCAAGAAATGGAGGAGGCAGGAGCAGTAGACAATTACCGCAAGCTCTTCCAGCTAATACGCACCACTGGTCCGAGAAAACCAGGCGTCAGGGAGACAATCAGAGATAACGCGGGTGCGCTGATAAACATAAGGAGCGCCGTATGGCTCGTTGGGCTGAGCACTTTGAAGATCAGTTCAACTGGCCCCCTGCTCCCGGACCTCTTCCTACTCAGGTGATGCAGGACGAGCCATGGACGGTTAGTTTAGAGCCTCCATCGGAGGCCGAGGTCCGAAACGCGATCACAGCCCTCATTCGTTTTCGTGCCGATGGCCCGGATTCCCTCCCATCTGCACTATTTAAGGATGGAGGTGAGGTCCTCTGCAAAGCACTGACCTCCCTATTCGAACGTATCTGGAACGAAGAGTGTACCGGCTAATTGGAGCGAATCGATTATAGTGGCAATATACAAGAAGGGCAGTCGCACAGACTGTGCGAACCACAGGGGTATTAGCCTAACGCCAGTTGTGACAAAATTACTGGCCTCGATTATCGTTCGTCGCCTCACTGCAGAACGGGAATCTCGGATTAGGGAAGAGCAGGCCGGTTTTCGCCCAGGACGTGGCTGTATAGACCATATATTCACTTTGCGGCAGATGCTAGAGCAGCGCCACGCATACCGCAGACCGACAATAGCTGTGTTCCTCGATTTCAAGAGTGCGTTCGATTCAGTCGATCGATCGATTCTGTTCGAAATACTTGCACGAACAGGTGTTCGCACGAAATATGTGAACATCCTTCGTGCTCTATACTCGAACACTAGAGGCCGCGTCAGGGTCTATGGTGTCCTATCGGATAGCTTTCCGATCACAAGTGGCGTTCGTCAGGGTTATCTGAGTTCCCCATTTTTGTTCAATTTCGTCGTGGATTTTATCTTGGAGTGTTCCCTTGCGGAATCTCACGATGTAGGTGTTGAAGTGCTGCCTGGTGAAAGGTTACTTGACCTAGATTATGCGGACGATATCGTCTTGCTTTTCGACAATGTTGAGGCGGCACAATCAACCCCGAATAGCCTATCCAGAGTGGTCCCATTATTTGGTATGCACTTCGCACCTTCAAAGTGCAAAATGTTGCTGCAGGACCACCAGGCACTTGATGACCCCTTGACCCTTGTTAACGAGGAACTCGAGGTGGTTGATCAATTCACTTATCTTGGCAGCTGCATCAGCAATGATGGGCGCATAGCAACTGACGTGAGCTCACGCATTGCAAAGGCTAGAGCTGACTTCTTGAACCTGCGTCATCTTTGTCGACAGAAGGGAGTTTCCCTCCGTCTGAAAGGCCGTGTATACAAGGCCACAGTTAGGGCCGTTCTGGTGTGTGGTAGTGAGACTTGGCCCCTTCGGTCTGAAGATCTGAGGCGCCTTCAAGTCTTTGATCATCGTTGTCTGCAAATATTGCTGATGTCGGATGGCACCAGCGTGTCTGCAACGATGATGTGCGTAGGCGGCTACTAGGTAGTGATAATTATGCTAGCTCCCTAGAACAACAGATAACACTGAATAAGTTGCGTTGGCTCGGGCACGTGCTACGTATGCCTAGTCACCGCTTACCTAGGAGGGTCTTGTTTAGTCTGCCAGGTGTAGGGTGGCGCAAGGCTCGAGGTGGACAAAAGTTGACTTGGCAGCGGGAAATGAAGTTACTGACGACCAAACTGGGTGCCGTTGGTCCGTTTCGCCTTCCGGGCTGGAGTGCACGTGACTCACCTTGTGCTTGGCTCGAGACCTTACAGGACATGGCTCGCAACCGACACCAGTGGCGCGTCTGCTGCCGTCTCCTAATCGGATTGTCTGTTTAAAGTGTGTTTGGTGCTGAGTTATCTGCGGGGTAATGGCTGATGATGACGCGTGGCAGTGAAAGCCGCAAGGAAGCTGTCTCGCCGATGCCACCTTATCTTTGCACGATAGCCAGCTGTTTGTGACGGTATGTTGTCTACACAAGGTGTAGGCGCCTTGACCCCGAATGTTTGCTTAGGGCATTAAGGTTTTCAGGTAAGTCCCCCTTCTCTCCCTCTTATTCTTTATTCCATACGTCCTCATGGTTGTATGGCAGCGAAGCATCAGTTCAAATGGCTGATGTACTGCTGTTGTTGATGATGATGTCCCCATTGCTGCCTGATACACTGTATATTGGTTAATAGTCTGGTCTGGTTGCACCCTGTGTGCAGCCGGTATGACCTCCCCACTTGCTAGTTCAAGTTTCCATGAACCTTCCCTCCGATCGCGCGTTCCTGTGCAATTCTGAACAACGTCATTGTCTAGCCTTCTCTTAGTGCGCATCTTTGGCTGACCAATCTCGATATTTTTTGCTTATATATTTTATATCCTGAAGCGATAGCGCTCTTAATTTGTCATGTTATCTTAACTGAATCATCCGCTGTTCTGTGAATCATTTCTTCGAATTCCTACTGGTCAACCGTCGTATGACTCCATTTCTCAGCTTGAAATTATCCGCCATGTAGCTAATTGCTTGTCTGTGAACACTAGGGTATCATTCTCCTCATCACCAGCACGTTAGTGATCTGTCCTGATGGTTCACTGGTGTATACTTAGGGACGGTGTCTCTTTGCAAATTCGAGTGAAGGGCAGAAGGATTGTTTCAATGATATATCAGCTGTGCTAGTGCCTCGCTTCCATGCGGCTGGGAGCAGGTCAACACCTGACCAACCACCATCATCTCCGGATAAGTTGTGACACCCATTCATTGGCAGTTCGGAAGCGTCGCCCATCTATACTGTGGATATGAAGTTACGCGCTTCTCAGATGTTTTCTATCCCACCGCTTCATAGTCAATTGTATTCGGCTTGTATAACTGTACTCATATTTCATAGTCATAGCATCGTGGACATTTGCCTAGTGTTCTGTCCTAGCACTTAGTGTGATAAACGTTGTCCCAGCCTGGGAGACTAAATCAGCTTCCCGTCGCCCGCGGTCACTCTGTTAGCTGCAGGATTTGTTGGCCATGCCAAACATTGTATCACTTTGATTTCGCATGAAGGTGAACTATTGGATTCCTTTCAGCTACTTCATCAAGTCAGAGAAAAGACTGGGTGCGA